GTCTGTATTACTTTTGCTACATTATTTTCATAGAAAGAATTGCTCTTGTAAATATGATTGAACTACGAGTTAAAGTTATCTTACTAGAAGCTCGATAAATATGGAAAGATTAAAAACTATGATCATTACATGGTAGCCTACTTGATGGCATTTACTCATAAAATAAGGTTAAACTTATTTATCTCTTGGCAATACTTTTATCCATTCCATAAGAACAATGTTCTCATCTCGTACTTCTTATAATTCTTCTAATGATACTAGCAACTGCTTTCGGTCCGAAGTAGATAAGGGACAGGTGGGGTAAGCTTATGCTCTACTCCAAATTCGAATTGATCAATTTTGCAGATACATTGTATGGATAATTGTACAGTAATAGTCGCCCAAATACATTACTTATTAATACTTGAAATATCATCTATAAGACTTACAAACTTACCAATTTTCATCCAGTAACAGCCATTTGATTTAAATAAGCCCTTTTTAGTAGCTTGTCTAACAGACTGGCAAACAGTTGTTGTTTTACCACTACCAGCCATACCATGTATTAAAATTTGACCATTTGACTTGTCTATTTCCTGCAATTGAGTACAAATTTGGTCTACAATTTTCTTCCTTATAACGTAGTGACTGTTTGGAGTTAGAGGAAGCTGTCGAAGAGGAATTTCTAATTGTGGAATGAATTATGTAGAATGGAGAATTTAATAAATTGGAAAGGACATGTCACAATTGCCTTTCGTCTTTAGCGTTGAGCAAGAACGATTATTTTCGCACTATAAATGAAACTCATAGTAAATGTTTATGAAATTAACGGTACACTAACTGGCATATTCAAAACTTGCACTGGATAAACACGACTAGTAAAACTCAACAAACAATATCCTTAATCTAGTAGCAAGAGCGTTTGAACGTCTAATGAATTTCTAAAGTGATTTTTGATATAAAAAGATAGGTTTTATCGCAGATTTAACGAACTGTCACTCACGCAAACAAAACTGAATATTGCGCGACACTAATGATGAATTAAAAGAATAAGCCCATATTAATCTATTCAGGAAATACGCTTACGTTAAACAAATGAAAACATAACTAGGTGTACTTAAGTCTTATGTGTTGGAAGGTAGATGTTCTTACAAAATTCTTTCATTGAACTATAATCTACAACTTTTTAGCAGTAAATCATTTCAAGAATTTTAAATATTGTATAAAATTGACATACCATGTTCAAATTACAACTCTATATTAAACATGGAAACCCTCGGGTCGATCAATTAATTGGGTAGTATTTTATATCAGTTTTTCGTATTAAGACTAGCACAGTAACAGATACGATTAATATTATTCGATATCAGTCGACGTCATCGTATACAGGTAAAATATCTTACGAAGACAACAGCAGATCTTAGAAATAACAGACTAACTCATTTATTTACGTGCGTTAAACAAGTACAAATATAACTAGGTATTCTTCGCCCTATGTGTAGAAAGGCAGAAGTTGTTACTTCATTCTTTTAGATATTAACTGCAATCTCTTATTGTTAAATTATCATGAAAGTTATTTCAAGTTTTGAATAAAATCGATATTCTATGTTAAAATTACAGCCCTGTAATAAATAAGGAAACTATCGGATTGATCAATTCATTGGATAGTAATCTACCTCAGTTTGAATGCAGTCTGCCTACATACATCATCTCTTTTTAATTTAAGCATCGACAAATATTTACGGTACTGTTAAATTACAGCAATATCCGTATATCAAAAGCTTTAAAATTCTTACCTATCGATATAGCTACGTAAATAGAAATTATAAATTAAAAATCTTCGTGTATTACTCGTATATAATTATGTATAGTGTTATATACAATCATGAACCTTTTAATCTTTATATTGTAGTTACGCGTAGAACTAATACAATGTAAGATAATATATAATTTATGATAAAGTAGCTTATATTGCAGTTTGGTAAGCTATTATACCTGTATTCATAGGCGCTGTCTGCATCGGTGTGGTATTGTCAGATAATGTCGATTTTACGGGTTCGGTAGAAGATGTAGAAGATATACGATTTTCTAGTTATAAAAGCAACCAGAATTGTGATACTTGTGATTATTATAAGTAATACAATTAATGTCAAACTATTTAAAATATTTTAAAAGCTTTGGAAGACGGATTTGTAATTATGAAATAAATTATATATATTGGAAGATTGAATAAATTAGCAAAGGACATGTCACTGATGCCTTTCGTCTTTAGAGTTGAGCTACAACGATTATTTTCGCATTATAAATGCAACTCATAGTACATGTTTATAAACTTAACGATAAAACTACTACCAAGTTCTACACTGGTACAAGATAAACACGATTAATAAAACTCTATAAACAATGTCTTTAATCTAATAGCAAGAGTATTTGAACATCTAACTAACTTGTAAAGTGATTCCTGATATAAATAAGACAGGGTTATCTTAAAATTTAGGAACTGTCGCTCATGCAAACAAAATAAATATTCCGTAACGCTGATGTGAATCAAAATGAATAAGGCCATATTAATCTATTCTGGAAATACGCGTACGCTTAACAAGTGAAAAATATAACAAGATACACTTTAGTCTTATGTGTTACAAGGTAGATGTTCTTCCTGCAGTCTTTCATTAACTATAATCTTTAACTCATTACTAATCAATCACTTAAATATTTTTAAATATTGTATAAAATTTATGTACTGTGTTCAAATTATAACTTTGTATTAACCAAGGAAACTCTTGGATTGATCAATTAATTGGATAGTATTTTACGTCAGTTTCCGT